CTGTAGAGAAAACTCCCTATGAGTTACTTAATGGGAGAAAACCAAACATATCCCATCTTAGGGCTTTTGGGTGTAAGTGCTATGTGCACAATAATGGCAAAGACTCCCTAGGTAAGTTTGATCCCAGAAGTGATGAGGGAGTATTCTTGGGATATTCTTCACATAGCAAAGCATACAAAGTGTTTAATAAAAGAACTCTATGTGTTGAAGAGAGTGTACATGTTGTGTTTGATGAATCTAACACTCTTTCTGAGAGACAGGAACATGAAGATGAAGCTCTTGGACTGGTGAGACAGTTGACTGAAGCCACAACACAAGTCAAAGTGGCATCAAAGGAAGGCGTAGGTGATGGAACAGGTCCTCTCACCCAGGGCAACCTGACAGGGGGAACCAATCTGAAGGATCCTGTACCTGAACCTGTTCCTCTGCAGCATAACTATGAAGGAGAAACTAGCAGGAACCAGATGGTGGGGAAATCTTACAAGTACCTGAGTTCTCATCCCATTGAGAACATCATCAATGATCCAACATCTGGGGTCAAGACAAGATCACAACTGAAGAACCTGTGTGCATTTGATGCTTTTCTGTCCCTCATTGAACCTATAAATGTGAGTGAAGCTCTACAAGATGCAGATTGGGTCAATGCTATGCAAGATGAGCTCAATCAGTTTGAAAGAAGCCAAGTCCGGCACTTAGTTCCAAAACCAAAAAACAGGTCAGTCATTGGGACAAAATGGGTCTTCAGGAACAAACTAGATGAAGATGGAACAGTTACAAGAAATAAGGCAAGGTTGGTGGTTCAAGGCTATAGTCAAGAGGAAGGCATTGATTATGATGAGACTTTTGCTCCAGTGGCTAGACTTGAAGCAATTAGACTCCTCATAGCCTTTGCAGCACATATGGAATTCACTCTTCATCAAATGGATGTCAAAAGTGCCTTCCTAAATGGCTATCTCAAAGAAGAAGTGTTTGTGAGACAACCTCCAGGATTCGAAAGTAAAGAATGTCCTGATCATGTATACAAGCTAGATAAAGCTCTCTATGGTCTCAAGCAGGCCCCAAGAGCTTGGTATGAAAGATTGTCAAAATTCCTTCTGGAGCATGGGTACAAAAGAGGTAAAATTGACAGCACTTTGTTCCTAAGGGAAAAAGGTAAAGATCTTCTTGTTGTACAAATATATGTTGATGATGTAATATTTGGGGCCACTACAGATAGGTTGAGCAAGGAATTTGCTAAATTAATGGGAAGTGAGTTTGAAATGAGTATGATGGGCGAACTAAATTTCTTCCTAGGCTTGCAGATCAAACAAAGTCCAAATGGAACCATGATTCATCAGCAGAAATATACAAAAGAACTAATCAAGAAGTTTAAAATGGAAGATTCTAAAGAAATAGATACATCTATTGCAACTGCCACTAAATTAGATGTTGATGAACCTGGTTCATCAGTTGATGAAAAGTTGTATAGGGGTATGATTGGTTCACTCTTGTATCTTACTGCCAGGAGACCTGACATTCTTTTCAGTGTAGGACTTTGTGCTCGTTTTCAAGCTAATCCTAAAGAGTCTCACTTGACTGCTGTCAAGAGGATATTGAGATATCTGAAGGGGACTACTGAATTGTGCCTATGGTACCCTAAAGGTAGTAATTTTGATCTAGTAGGTTATGCTGATGCTGACTATGCAGGTTTCCTAGTGGATAGAAAAAGCACTTCAGGTATGGCTCACTTTCTTGGTTCATGTCTTGTATCATGGGCCACCAAGAAACAGAATTCAGTAGCCCTATCTACTGCTGAAGCTGAGTATGTGGCTGCTGCTTCTTGTTGTGCTCAACTACTGTGGATCAAGCAACAATTAGTAGACTTTGGTATAGAAGTGGGATGCATACCAATATTCTGTGATAACACTAGTGCTATAAGTATGACAAAGAACCCTGTTCATCATAAAAGGACCAAGCACATAGATGTTAGACACCACTTCTTAAGAGATAACTATGAGAAAGGGTTAATCTCCATAGAATTTTGTGCTACTGATAAACATATAGCTGACATCTTCACTAAAGCACTGAGTAGAGAAAACTTTAAAAGGAACAGGTTGGAATTAGGGATGATTAAGATCACCTAAAAGGTCCAGTTCAGAATGCACAATGAAAAAAAATGATGAAAAAGATGAAATTTTTTTTTGGTTAGGAGTTCTTAATTCAATGTAAATATCTAGACTAATTCTTACTCAGTCTCATACTGTAAATAGTATACTCTTGTGACATGTGTCTATGCAATTCACTAATCTCTTACAAATTTTCTATTTTGACATTTGAGGCATAATCAAGAGAAGTTTCACTTAAAGAACCTGGTTCATCAAATTATGCTCATGAGAAAGTTCAGGTATGTTTCTATTCTTTGCACAATTAGAAAAATTTAATTATCAATCATGAGCAAGAGTCCTAGATATACCAAACGTCCTAACAATTCTATCCGTTGGGTCAATTGAACCATTTTCATTGAAACTAGAAGTCTAAATATAACGGCACCTTCTCCTAAATTCTAGTTATTCAAATTAATCTCTACTGAGACCGAAACTCTAAATTGATTAGACCTCTATGTGACTACTGAAAAGGCTGCAGTTTCTGAGTAATAATTACCTTCTTTAAAAACCCCAAACCACTCAATAATCATCAATTCCTCACAAAACCCCTGATAATTCTCTCTCGTCTCTGAAACTCTCCAAAGCTCTTCACACCACCAAAATTCTCTTAGAGTTTTCAGAAATTTCTCACCATGACAAATCCCCAAGACAATCCTGGCATTCCACCACCCGTTTCACCCAACACCTCATCTTCCACACCACCAGTCGAAAACCCAAAACCTAGATTCCATCGCCAGAAAATGCTAGCAAGAAAAACTGTAGCTACAGGTTCTTTGAGAAAAACTTTGAATGAAAAACTTCAGTCCAGTCAAAAGAAAGTAGGCCCAGCAGCTGAGACCAACTCTAGCTCTGAATCTGATGATTACATCTCCACCAGTGAAGGAGATGAACCTGGGTCTTCTGAACAGGCCAAAACTCAACAAACCCAAAGAGAGGTAAAATCTTGCTATGTTTTTTCTGATGTAGTTGAAAGGGAGGAAAATTGATTTGTTCTGATAGGGGCTGCTAGAGATGTAGGTGGGACTGATTCTGGGAAAATGAGGAAGAAAGAGAAGAAGGAACCTTTAGCCATATGTGGGGGTGGGGAAGAAGGAGTCTCGAAGTCAGGGGGAAGTGGTGAGGCTGCTGAGGTGTTGATTAATCTGAGTAAACAATAAGATGAACCTGGTTCTTCTGATGGAGAGAGTTTGGCTGACTTGTTGAAGAAAGTGGGGGCCAGCTATGACCCAAAGAAACGCAAGGCTTCCTCACAAAAGACCCCTGCTGCATCCAAACCAACCAAGAAAAGCAAACAATCACCACCCAAGTCTACTCCTAGGATTAGAGCTACTAGAAGTAGGGTCAGGGAAAGTGAAGCAGAATTGAAGAAGGCTTTAGAAGAAAGTAAGAAAAAGAGGAAAGAGAAAGGGAAAGCAAAGATAGGTGAAAGCTCGGAGGCTGTGGTTGAAGAGGAAGAAGAAGAGATGGAACAGGTCCATCTAGAAAGGAGTTCTACT